GCTAAAAATTTGTTTATACATTTTTCCAAAGGAGTTTCCTCTAGCAGGAAGGTGACTTTCATAGGAGAGGAGGAAGTGGAATCCAAGCTAACAATTACACTATTGCATTGACTCTAGGCACCTTAGGTTGTAAGATGCCCATTATTTTATATACTGCTGAAAGACAAAAAGAGTTGCTGATTAAGCTATGTCATGTAACTATAAGGTATGTCCCAATTTTAGAGATATTAAAACATTAAAAATTGTGTCACAGAGTCAATAAAATAGAGAAAAATTCCTTAAAACTGAGATAGCAACACGTGTGTGTGTGTGTGTGTGTGTGTGTGTGTGTGTGTGTGTGGCATGCAAACATACCCCACAATCATGCAGGACACATTAAAGCACAATGGCAAGAGCAGTCAAATCCCCAGCAGGGAGCTGGGTATGGTGGTGCATGCCTATAATCCCAATGACTTGGGAGGCTGAGCAACTCAGTGAGACCCTATCTCTAAATAAAACACAAAAAAGGACTGGGATGTGGCTCAGTGGCTAAGCACATCTGGGTTCAATCCGTAGTACCAAAACAAAACAAACAAACAGAAAACTAGCAGGCCTCTATACTAGAAGGGGCTTGGTAAGCTCATTGGAAATAAGGATCACTTAACATTGGACAGGTAGGACAGTTTGTAAAGCCCTCTTAACACCCGGTTATCTCACAGGATTCCTCCTATAGGGCAGGCAGGACAAGAGTATTTATAACCCTTATACACAGGAGGTTCAGGGAAATCTGACTTTGCCAAGGGCACAGAGCACTGAGGAGGGGGAGAAGAGGGATGGCAGGCCCTGTCCATGGAGTTTCTGCAGCATTTGTCTGACTTCTACAAGATAGCCACTATTCAAGAGAGGGCTAGGCAAGCTGGCTGTGGTGGCACATGCCTATGATCCCAGTGGCTCAGGATACTGAGGCAAGAGGATTGCAAGATCAAAGCCAGCCTCAGCAACTTAGCGAGGCCATAAGCAACTTAGGGAGACCTTGTCTCTAAATAAAAGGTTAAAAAGGCTGAGGATGTGGCTCACAGGTTAAGCATCACTAGGTTAAATCCCTAGTACAAGAAGGGGTCAGTAGGGACATAGCTAGTGAGGATGTGAAAAAATGGCTTTTAAAACCTTTTCCAGATAAAATTACTTTCAAAACCTCAATATGCCAAACAGGAGATAAGTGGAGTTATTCTAGGTGAAGCAACGGGAAAGGCCATAAGTCACCTATTCTGATCCCACCAATTCCCCAATCATGGAGGAGACCTCGAAGGTAGTTTCCTAGAATCTCTGAGGTGCTGAGGAACAATTTCTCATCCTCTGGAGGAAGGGGACTTCAAGTGTACTGGTAATGCTCTTTTTCCTAAGCTGAATTAGACATTCATATTTTTTGTAAGTCTTAAAGGTTTCATTTTAGCAAAAGGCACTGGTAAGGTCCAGTCAAAAGATGACTCAGAACATGGAAGATTGAAGTAAATGCCAAAAAACGTTTGCTTGAGTTATGAGTTTGGGTGAGGGTTGGCATTGAGATTTTTAAAGCTCTCCAGGTGATTAATATGCAACAAAATTTATAAGCCACTGTATTAGAGATACCTCGTCAGCTCTGGCATGCTTGAAATCTAATGGCATGTCCTTGAGTATACACAATATCCTCTCTGTTCTCATAGGACAGGGTGCTTGAGACCCAGGGTCTTTTTAAAAATGCAATAGTGCCAGGTGCAGTGGTGCACGCCTGTAATCCCAGTGGCTCAGGAGGCTGAGGCAACAGGATCGTGAGTTCAAAGCCAGCCTCAGCAAAAGCAAGGTGCTAAGCAACTCAGTGAGTCCCTGTCTCTAAATAAAGATATTTTTTAAAGGGCTGGGGATGTGGCTCAGTGGTTAGGCGCCCCTGGGTTCAATCCCTGATACCAAAAAAGAAAAATGCAATAGCAATGAGCTTAGTGTTCCTGAGTAAAAGGCAGAGCGAAGGCAAGCTGGTGCCACCTCTGCAGACCCCTGGGATGGAGAGAGGAAGGGTAGAAGCCAGTAGGGGACAGAGGTGAGGCTAGGATTGAGTTGTGGAACAGAATAGACCAGTATCTGGTGCTATTGGTACTGTTTGCCAACACAGATGTCGAGAAAGCATCTGCCTTACTCACTGAGACCTGCCTGATTGTGAGACTCAGAGGCTGTTGGGGGGCTGCCATGCAGAAGTTGCAGAAAGGGACTTAAGTCTGCTGTGGAAGGCACCCATTAGCAACAGGGGCATCATCTCCTCCTACTACATCTATGGGAGGCTTATAAATTCCTGTGCCCAACATCTAAGACATCCAAGGTGTGCAATCTCCATGTTGGGCAGAATGCTGATGGTGGGAAGGGGCGAGTGTGGAGTGTGGGCAGTAACAGAGGCCTTGACTTTGGATAAGGCCAGATTTGACTATTGCCAATGTTAGCAAGCCACATCAGAGTGGCATCGATGTATCGCTTCCTCCTCTGGCCTTGGCAAACCACGACAAACTGGAAAAAACTCACTGAGAGATCAGGTTGTAACCATCCCAAGCTGCACCCTTTCCCACTGAGGGTTAGATGACACATTCCATGGAATGGTGGGGCTTTTGCCATTGCAAACACCAACTCTGTGTACCCTGAGAAAGTAAAAGGGTGGCCCAGTTGTGACTGAATAGCTAGCAAGGTTATGGAAAAGCAGCTGGCCACTCTGGCTGCCCACCTGGACAGAGGTCTGGGAAGGCTTGAGGTGGAAAAGTTATTGGCCCTTACTGCTCTTCCCTCACAATAGTACCCCCCTGTCCAGGATACCAACTACATAGAGCCCTGCGGAAAAGCAGGATGGGGCTCATAAGTGATGGGCTTGAGGGGCCCATGCAAACCACAGTGGCCCGAGAAAACCAATGAGAAGTGCAAGGGGTTATGCTACCAAGGGTTCTCTCTCAGGTACCAATATCTCCCACCATTTCTCAGCATTCAGGGATAAGATTCTTGTTCACTGAATACCCTCATGGGGTGGGGGGTGGGGGTGCTGAGAATGGAACCCAGGGCTTCACACAGGCTGTGTGTGTGTGTGCTTTGCCACTGAGCTACACCCTCAGCTCCTCACTTAGTACCTTCTGCGAACTGGGTCCTGTGCCAAGGGCTGGAGGATGAATTAGACCCCACTCTTCCTTCAAGGAGTCCAGTGTCCAGAAGTGAGTTACTTAAGAGGGAAGTAAATGGTGCCCAAAGTAGGCATCAGATGCTGTAGGGGCAAAGTGGAGAGGTGTCCAACACAGAATGGAGCTTGGGGAGGGCTGCACAGAGGAGCTGAAGTATTAGGAGGACAAAGGAGGCTGTGGCTAAGAGAACACTGCAAAGGGAAAGAAAGGCAAGGACGCAGGAAATGGCATGGTGTGACAAAGTGAGTGCATTATGGCTGGAGCAAAGTGTCTCTGTGCATGGTTCTTTTGGAAACATGGGGGTGAGATGAAACTGAAGATGTTTGAAGGGCCCAGAACCTGGGTGTCACACTAAGGAGCCTGAGCTCTATCCTCTAGTCAAAGGCGCAGGGTAGTAATGTAGTCACATTTGCATTTGAGACCACTGCCTGCAGAGAAGAAGAGACCAGAGTGGAGATGGGCGGCAAGGGCAGAAGCACTAGCCCATGGGAGGGATGGCGATGGCCTTGGTGGCTGGTCTTAAGCTCTCTTCTTGAAAAGGAAGGTGTAGAAAAGCCAGGAGACCACCTTTCCTCACTTTCTCTCCACCAGCCTCTTTCTGTCTCCCCAGCTCTTACATGGCCCCCCTTCCTCTCACACTTCTGGTTCTGTTCTGAGGCTGCCCAGGGTTGGACCTTGACTCCCCTGCTCGTGCAATTGTGGCCCACGCCGTTCTCTCTCTTGTCCATACCTCACTGTCCAATTCTTCTCTTTCTTCAATACAGATTGGAGGTCCCTAAGCAGTGATCTACCTAGTAATCCCAGAACACCAAAAAGGCAGTGGAGCCCAGAAGCACATGGGCACTGAGGTCTAATGAAACTACTTTCTAGTCCCAGTCCCTCCATATATTACTGAACCTTAGTTTACTCATTCTGCCTGTTAATCAGGAACAGCATTACCAAACAGCTTCCAGACTCTGGCTGTGGGGATTGTCAGAGGTGCACATGCAGGTATGTATGTGCGTATGGAAAGGGACTTAGCACCTGGCACACAGTTGTGTAGCTACTGCTTTGCAGATGGAGAATCTAAAGCTAGGAGAGAGGGAATGGCTTTCCCAAGCTGGTAGTTTTCTACTTCAGGACTGGAGAGCTCTGCCTCTCTCAGAGCCGGGTGCCCAACTACTGGCAAATGGTGAGATCTGTTTACACTGGCTGTTGTGCTGCTTAGCTGTGACCCTTCTGGAAGCAGCGCTACTGGCTAAAAGATGGATCAGGGCCTGTCTGGTTGGTGTAAAGGCAGTAGGACCCAGTGGCCTTGGAAAAGCAGGTCTAACTGTTCCTGAATGGCAGGGTTATTTTCACTCACTCTTCCCCAAGGTGATATTTTGACCCTTGTTGGGAACAGCCCAATCCCCTGCTACCAACACTGACATAAGGGTACCTGGGTGGAGTGGGCCTGAACATGATGCTTTTGATTTTTTGATCTCAGTCCCTCAGCCTGGCCCAGAATGCCATGAGTCCAGTAGGCCAGCAAATGTCCCCAGAAGGCAAACCCTGCTAAGAGAAAATGGCCCACTGGATTCCTGGAAGCCAGGCAGTGTGTGGGAATAAGGAGTGCAGCCACACTGCTCCAGGGCAGAGCTCTACTGAGAGCCAGCCACCCTTTGGAGAGGGGGTGTCCTCCAAGTATGCAAGGCTAACAAATGATCCCTTTTGTCTACTTTTCAAAGCAGAGGGCCTTCTTAAAGGATTCTGAGAAGCAGGGCCAGGACTCCTGGGTTCTCATAAGTCTTTTAATAATAGTAAAAGAAGAAAACAATTGTAGCAATAAGTCCCATTGTGAGGGTTCCTTTTCATTCAGGGATCTTCAAGAACAGAAACATCAGAGACTAAGATTCAGAATGCTAAATACACAAATTAAGGGCAATTTATTTCCAAAGGTGACTGCAGAAATCATTTCATTACAATCAAAAGGTTGTACAAAACAGAGGAAACACATTACAGAACATCCCAAGAAGTGAGGAAACTGGTGGTGGGGAGGGGCACAGAGCACCCAAGAACCAGCCTGACAAAGAGGCTCACCCTGCTGCTATCTAGGGAGGTTACAAAGACTGGTTCTGAAGGGAGGCACTGCATGGGGGCGGGAGGGGTGGGGGAGGGGTGGGCCCAGTGCACAGCAATCCCAGCCTGGGAACAAGGAAGGATGGGGAATAGTAAGGGGGGCAGAGGCATTTGCCAATGTCCCAGCAGAAATAGTTACATATCAGCCTATCTTATTCTGTTTGCTACAATAATACCAATATAAATGCAGAAGTCTTTAAAATGTTACACAACATTGATACTAAAAGAAAGCAAAGAGTTTCCAAAACAACACTTTTGCTTGAAATGACTTTTTGTTTTGTTTTGTTTTTCATGGGATTTTTTTTGTATCCGTTTAGTGCCACCAGTAGCAAGCCAGTGTACAAAAATGTTGCAGACAAGGGGAACAGCAAGAGACTAGGTTTTCCTGAGCACAAATGGGCTCATTCTTTATACACAAGAGGAAGGCTCATGCCCTCTCCCAGGATCCCCACCTCAAAGAGGGCAGAGCTGCAACCGGGAAGCCCCTTCCAAGGTGTGGGCCTTGCCAAGGAGCCTGCAGGGCCTGTAGGAGTCCCTCCCATGTGCCTGCTCCCAGTTGACCAAAACCAACACCAGTGTCTTGTCCTACAGTGTGATGCATGGCCTTTTCCCCTCCCTCCTCTACCTCCCCTTCAGTAGAAACCATCTAGAAACCCCTCTTCCAGAGAAGATAGATGGTGCTAGGTCACTGCCCACAAATCCAGAAGAGGCAGAGGGAAGAGGGAAGGGCACTTTTGCTACCTCATGAGTACCCAGCTCATGCCCAGGGCATCCCCCATCTCTGACTCCAGTGCAGAGACCTGCTGACACTGAGCTATCTGTGGGGAGCTGTGCCCATGTCACAAAACACTGAATCATCAATAGTCACACATATCACAACCCTGATGGAGGCTACAGCAAAAGGGATGATCTGACGGCTGGATTGAGGTACTGTACAGTAAAGTGTGCCAGCTGCCCCGCTTACCCCAAGGGACCTGCACACAGCTTCTGTGAGTTCTACCGAGTCCCCAGAGAGACAGAGGTTTGGGAAGGCAGAGTTTGTGGCTTCAGAACACCACAGGCTGACAGAGGAACACATCCCTGCCTTGCAGAGCAAGCTGTGCCAGATCTTTGGTGTACAAAACCAAACACTATGGGGAGGACCTGAAGCAGACGCGACCAGCTCTCTGCTATTCAGAGTGGAGGTTGCAAGTTGGCCAGCTCAACAGACTGTTCTCCTTGGCTCAGACCCTTGACCAAGGCCACCTGGGGGCCTGACCGAGCATTGGTTTCCCTTCCTGGGGCTGTCTGAAAGGCAGCTGGCCACTTCCACATAGTCTTACACACTGGCAGACAGCATCTGGAARCTGGGCCAGGRTGCTTGGGGAACAGCCTCAGYTCASACAGGAAAGCCCTGAGGAGGAACTGGGAAGCCCTCTGATCCCTGGGTGTGCAAACTGTGGCTTCTCCCTCACTTCTGTACTAGAGCTGACAGCCATCAGTCTGCTGTGGGACAGGTATGAGGGCCACTCCCAAGGCAGGCTGTCTTGCCTCTGATCAGGTTACCTGTCTCCAGGTGGGCTTGGCCCCAGGTAAGGGAGAGACACGACCAGCTCTGATGCCTACTGCTCCCCAATACCCCAAATAGAGGGTAAGACTCCTTATGGAACCCATAGATGGGGCCCATTATCTGTTCCTTCGACTTCCATGTTCATGAGCCAGCCTGCCTCTTTGCTTCTCCCCTTCACCTAACAGGTATAAGGAGAAAGTAGCTTTCACTTTCTTCTTTCCTTCCAAGCACCAGAAAATACATGCCAAAATGGGATGCTGAGCTGTAACCAGGGCAGTGTGGGGAAAGCCCGAGATGACTGGAAATCTGTGCCATGCACAGAAAGAGGGAGGAAGAGGGGGCCTACTGTCACACAACTGTGGCATTCTGGGGCTGATCCCCAGTTGAGACATAGATCCTCTGCCTATAGTGGCTTCACGTTCTGGGAGGGGCCAGGCCAGGTCTCCAGGGGCTCCTCTCATAACCTCTTTCCACCCTCACCTTTTCTAAAGAGGCCAATGGGCACCAAGACCTCACACATTTCCTCACTAGTCACTCCTACATATAGCAGCTTGATGGTGGGCAGGGTGAATCCAGCTTCTACAGTGAGAGGCGCTAAGAAAAGCTTGGCCCCGCCTCCAAGATGGCAGGAAATGAAGGTTATGGATCACAAGGGGCTCATGGGCACTCAATGTTCTCCTCTGCTGCTCTCTGTGCTCTTGCCAGCAGGCATCTTCTGATGGATGGTCCCTCCTGGGGTTGCTTCCCTGGGTCTCAGCTTATTCAGAGATTCTCCTGCATAGCACTGCCTCCTAGAGGTCCATTTGCTAAAATCATGATCACCTTTGCCAGAAGTACAATCTAGGTCTAATACGAGAAAGCTTAAAATACTGAAACTGGCCCAGAGCAATGAGGATATCTAGAGTGGTGAAGGGAGGGGAGGCTTGCAGGAGCTTGCTTTTCTGTTCTTAAGCAGACCTGACCCTAGTAGGAGTCAGCAAGGTGTCAGCAGCCATGCAGCTACTTCTTGAGGTGCAGGAATGACTGAGTGCAAGTCTGTCAACAAAAGCTCCTCCTTTTGGAGCACTTGAACCCCTGGGGACCTATCCCTTGACAGCTCCCTTTTGACCTAGACAAGGGCTTTTGAGAGGGCAGGGTGGGAAATTTGTGACACTTCCCACATTGAACAATTCAGCAGAGTCTGGCTGTACTGAAGAAACCTGGCCCTGGGGAAATAACACTGGCTGGAGTCTCAGCTTCCCAAACCAGGGTGAGGCCACACCCTGCAAACCCCAGAAAAGGATCTATAGGACCTTCCAGAAATAGGCCCTGATGCAATGGTTCTCCCAACTCAAGCATCCAAAAACAAACAAGTAAAACAACCCCAAGCCCCAACTCCAGCTCACTCTTCTTGAAGCTGCCTAAGAGACAGAACACAGAAACAGAAAGAGAGGACAAGAACGAGTTGAAGGGGCACTGGAGATATGGATGGTATCTATTATCAACATGAATGTGGAGAATGATTCAAATCACAGTTTTCTCAAGTTACCACTTCCATTGATTGATTTCTTAATTCCTGTGCTCACTTCTGATTGGGATGTGGGTCAGGTCTCAGCTCTCATGGGCAGTTTGCACAGGGTTCTGCCTGGCACTGTGTACATTTCTACCCTGTTTGCTGTGGATTCACCATCACCACAGTTCAATAGGCCCCTTGGCGGAATCTTGCCCTAAGGCTGGTAGTGCCCTCCACTCCTCCCCCAGGCAGCATCCTAGAGGGAGTGGCTGGGCAGCTCCCTGCTTTGAGTCATGGGACACCAGTGGGAAGAATCTGGCCAGTTCTATTTTGACCACTATGTGGGAAATCCCGTGGCTCTGGGCTTGTTGCTGGTATAGATAAAAGGCCTGAGTCCCCTTCCAATGGGGGCTGTGCTGAAGACAAAGGGGGATCCCAGCATGAGCATGGAGGTCCCTGGCAGTGGAGAAATGAAACACAACCTGATCTCACTGCTGTGATACTGCAAGAATTACTGCTTTTTGTTCCCTGTCTCTTCAACCAGCTGTTGTTAAAGCACCAACAAGCAGAGCAAGGGAGCCAGACTACCATCTCCCCTCATAAGGCCACTCAGAGCAGGGAGACAGAGCCAAGGGGAGGAAGAAGGGAAGATCCAGGCCCACACCATGCCCCAGGCGCAAGGAGCTAACCTGGGGGGAGGAGCTGGGGAAGGAAGAGTGGTGGAAGAAAAGGACAGAGGAGGAAAAAAGAAATACACCAACATCCTACTACCCTCTCCCATGATTTCATCAAGAACTGGGTGTTCTCCAAGTCAAGTCAGGACTTGCTTCCTTGGGGAGGAGAAAAAAAAGAAAAAACAAGCACCTTCAGTCTATTTTCTTGGCTGGAAGCCGGAGCAAATCCAGCAGATATTTACACAAGGGCCCAGCCATGTATGAGAACAGGATAACCAGCTTCCCGTGGGTCATGGTCATGAGAGTCTGGTGTCCCGAGGCCCAGATGCGATACCAGGGGCCGTAGAATGGGTCTGAGATGGCCGGACACAGCATGTTGTTCAAATTCACTTCGGTGACCTGCAGGGACAAGGGAGGTAGAGTGAGCGTTCGCCATCCTTAGGCGTTCTCTGGCTTATGCCATTTCAGCCTTCTCTACCTAATGGGGGTCAGGACAAGGAGGGATTGACCAATCCCCACCTGTTCATGAACGGGTTTCCCTGCCCTGGGTTTTCTGAGGGAAGCAAGGCCACAGCCCATTAGAGGTGATGGGAAGGGATATGCAGGAGAAAAGCTGTTCAGTGTTGCTCAGGCTTGACTTCTAGTTGTGCTCAGAGCCTGTTGCCATTCCTAAGAATCTGCTATGTGCCTAGTTCCTGGAAAGGTATTATGGGATAAAAAGAGTAGTTAACAGCATGGTCCCTGTGTAACTGGCAATCAATCAAGTGAGGGCGATCGGTTTATTACATCTGACCTCAAACCAGACGGTGCCCACCAAGGTTTATACGCCATGAGGAGGTCTGAGGAACATATGGAATGGGGTCTGAGTCCTCAGAGAAGATTTCATGAGGGAAGTGGCACCTGAATGGACTCATGAAAGATGGACAGGGGATAATGGTGACAAGTGGGGTGAGTGGAGCCCTCCCTGTAGGAGGCATGGCCAGAGCATGGTATGTATGGTGACATGAGCACACTGACACCTTAGAAATGCAGGATGTCAGTGGGGAGCAGTGAGAGGTAAGGGAGGAAAAGTGACTGATTCTACAAAAGGTACTGGGGACATCGGTTACACACGCTCTTATCCTACACGATAAGGATAAGGTCGCACGAGGCTCACACGGCTATTGTTACGTTAATGCTGCCCACACCAAACCAGATATGCCACAACACTTGGCTTCCAGAGCCCTACAAGTCTGCTCATGCTAAAGACAAGTCCTTACCACCTCTCAGGGAGGTTAGGGCTATTATACCAAGTCACAGAGAGGTGGAAAACTCTCTTCCCTCAAAGATGAAGTGACTCACTTAGAGCAGAGGCAGAATCAGGACTTCAACTTGCGTCTCCTGACCCTGTCCCCAACCCTGAGCTCTTCCTGACTCACTTTACCACTAATAACCACCCTTGCAATACCGGCGATCTTGGACTCTGGATAACTCAACTACTGAGTCCAACCATTCTCCACACTCCAGGCAGTTCTGAACACCACAGAATGCAATGGGGGTCCCCAACAACACACTTTCATGGCCACACAGCTCAGGGGAAATAAAGAACCTGGGAGCAGGACCAGAACAGACAGACCCAATGTCAGAGACTTGCCCCAGGCCCAGGGGGCCAAGGCTAACTAGAGTCCCAACTCCCCATGAGGTCCATAGCAAACCATTTCCCACTGTTTCCAACCCAAGTGGCCAGGAGTGAAGGGCACCCTTGCCTCCCCAGGGATGAAAAAACAGACATTACTGAAGGATTCAGAAAATTCTTTGGAGAGGCCAAGGCTGTGGATCATAAATCAGCAACCCAGACACAACAATCTGACATTCTGGCCTTTAGCATCTTGTATTTTCAAAACAAAATGATACACCAGCGCCAAGAAGGATTATCAAGATTTATGGAGAACTCCAAACAGAGGGGAGAGAAGGGGATTGAACCAAACTTACCAGGCCGAGGATCTGTAGAATGCTGAAGTGATAAAAGAACATGAGGCCAGTTGAGAGAAGAGCCCACCGGAAACTGCTGAGGGGCTCTGGGGTGTAAGCACCTGGAGGGAGATGGGAGAAGGTGAGATTGTGGAAAAAGTGACCCACTTTTCTCTGCCCACGAGGGCATGGATGCTAAGGTCATAGTTGTAGCCTGTTCATTGTCCCCTTTTACCCATCAGTGATAGCTACTTCAGAGAGAGCCTTGCTGATTAGCTGGGTACTCAGAACAGCCCCTTTCTGACCTCTGTTCTGCCATTCGATGCTGAGGCCATTATAAAGAGATGATTTTTTATTATAAAAATAATACATGCTCATTAAAGGTAATTTAGAATGCTGAAAAGTAGAAAAAAAGTTAGAGGAAAAGAAGAAAAACAGCCCCAGTACTCTACTACCAGAATATAATCACTGCTAATGCCTGCTGTGTCTCCTTGGTCATTTTTTCTATGCCTCATAATTTTCTTTCATTTTTAAATTAATACTTGGAATCACATACATGTACAATATATTGTTGATTATATATATGAGTGTGTGTGTGTGTGTGCGTGTATAAAAATATAAAGTCTTCATTTCTACATTTATTTCCTCTTAGTTCTAGAGGAAAATATCATTGAGGAAAGGAATGATGTGGTGATTGAGAATGTTAACTTTAAAGTCAGATGGCCTTGGTTGTGCAAGCTTCAACTCTGCCACTTACTGGCCATGTGATCCTGGGAAAGTGGTTAAAACTCCCTGAAGACTCAATTTACTTGCTTATAAAAAGGGAATAACAGTAGCCCCAGAATCTGGCACAACATGAGTGTTCAATGAAATGTTAAGATGCTGTCACTGTAATTCAAAGAACTGAAGACGTGCCATATCTAACAGTGGTGCCATCGAAGAACTATTGAACAATGCCTCCCCCCAGGAACTCCAAAAATAATATATTTCCTTTCTATTATTTCTGGGACTAGATCCCAGTAGGCTTGGACATATTCCAGAATTTACAGAGCAGGGGCATGGTTTATAGGATGTTGCAGGTGTCACTCTGAATGGGGACTCAGAGGGGGTAGCTTGAGAATGAAAGGGACTTGAACCCCCCCCACTCAAGGAAGCAGGGGTGATATCATATCCTGGACTAGTACTTTCCCAAGTCTTTCCTTTAGCGACTGATCCATTCATTCAATAGTTATGAGGCAGCTAGACTATTCTAAGAAGATAAGTTCCCTGCAGCCTCAGACTCATGGTCAACAATTATAAAGGAGTGGGGTGGAGGGGTGGCTGTAATGTGAAGATAAAAATCAGCCTGCAGGATGGGGTGGAGCAAAGAATGCTTCTTGATAGAGGGAGTATGGGAGTGGTCCTGAATTGGACTTCCTAAAGAGGGGTCCTGGGATTCCAAAGCAGCAGCCTACTTCCAGTCAGACAGAGTGAGGCAATTCAGAGAATCACAGTTGACTTAAGTAGGAGAGTGGGATGAGGGCAATAAACAGGCGGAAGACTCAGGCTGGCAGGGCTGGGCCATGTAGCACAGTAGGAGCTACACTAAGTGCTTTGGGCTTCGTCCCATGCAGCAGGGTCCTGAGCTCAAATGCCTAAAGTGTCAGGCCAAGTAATAGGAAGCAGGGGTGTAATCACGGTCTAAGAGACACTGGGGGATTCTAGAGACTGGAAAACTGGAAAGCCCACACCCCTTCACTCCACCAATCCTTGCCCTGCAAGGATATGGCCCAAAAGGAACCCCCCCCCCCCCGCCACCTCTTTTTTCCAATTTTATAAGAGTGGCCAGAAATATGAAACTTTATGTGGAACTTCCTGATTTTTAAATGTTGGCAACTAATTCCAAATGTGCTAAGAATGCCTGATGGATCAAACAAAACATATCGTATGGACAGATTTCAGCTCCTGGGTGGCCAGGCTTGAGCTCTAAAGCAGAAGGAGCTCTGAGGCAAGAATGTACTAGAAACACACATGTGCTTATAAGAGATCACCCTTTTCACTGCAGCAGAGAGTGGAGGCAGGGAGATCAGCAAGGAAATTGTAGAAAGAACAGGATGGCTTTTGAAGGTAAGAGCAGTGGGGCTACAGAAGAAAAAATGAAGGAAAATATCACTAGCATATGGTAGAATACTGGATGCGTGTCTAGGGTTGGTGGGGGGTAAGGGGAAGGAAGGACCACAGAGACTCTTGGGCTTCAGTGGGGTGATGATACTAGATAAGAGGAAAAGGCAGGTGGGTGCAGAGGGTACGGAAATGAGGAGGTCTATTTTAGACATTGAAATTGCAGTATCTGTAGAATGTATGGGAGGACATGTCCCTCTGGTGGCTGAATGTACTCTAGGATGTACAGGGTGATGAATGACAGTGTAGGTACTAGAGCCCAGCCAGTGGAGGTTTTCACATTGTGGTTCTATCACCTATCAACTTCAGGGCCTTAGGCAAGTCTTGGTATCTACTGAAGTCAGTTTAACTCATCTGTAAAATGAAACAGTACTACCTAATTCACAAGGCTGTTGGACAGAAGAAAAAAAATATGCTATAATTACAGTACCAGGATTTAACAAATGCTGATTATTTTTATTTTAGGAGTCACAAATTCAATAAAAAGGATGGGGTGAACATCTATATGTAGGAAGAAGGCCAGAGACACAAGACTAAGAAATACCATGTAAGGTAGAGGAGTGAAGAGAAGAAAAAGGAAGGAGACGGGGTAACTAAAGCCAGGGGATCTTCTGTGGGAGAAGCTCAGCCTTGCTCTAGGAACAAGAGACAAGGCTGTGACATATATGAGTCAAAGGCCCTTTGAGGATATAGCTATCATCCCTCCATTTTGTAGATGGAAAAACTGAGGCTGGGAGATGGGCAGTCACACAGCCAAAGTTACTCTGGCAAAAGACTGGGGAAACCAACCCTCAGGGATTCACTGCCCAGTGTTTCTGTTACCACTTGCATAGGCCTCAAACATACCACGTTGGACCATCTCTTTCCTTGTCTGCCTACATTCTAGACTGAGCACAGCCCAGGTCAGTAACCACATCAGATCTATGTGTGTGCCCCTAGAGTCTAGCAGAGCTTGACTTGTGAAAATCCACTGAGTGATCCACTTGGGCTGTGTGCACTTGCCTGCCTGCTCAGTGAGTGTGAAGTGGGCACTGTGTTGTCGCCTGGGTTCTGGGACACGTGGGGGAACACAGGGGAAGAAGGGACCTGGAGGACTGACAGGTGCTCAGAAAGGATGCATCCCACTGCTAGAGCCTCCAGCCATTGCTCCCCAGATGTCCCTTCCCTCTAGCCTTTGCTTGGCTTCTTCTAGTGGGAGCTGATATAGGCCTTCAATGCCAGGTGGTAGCTACAGGAGAGGCCCTGAGTGTGTGTGGTGTGGGGGGTGAGGCGTCCTCATCCAGGAGGCAGCTCGGCAGCCATAGACCTGGGGAAAGCTGGGACAAGGGGTGGGCACTCAGTGGTGCACCCCCTCATCTACCCTGCCTGTGGCAGCCCCAGACCTTATGATACCCCATGCTCTGGGATAAAAGAACAGCCAGATACTACCAATGGACATGCTTCTAAGTACTTTCACTGTCCCTTGTCCAAAGTTTCACTTTAGCATCATTCCTTCCATGTCACATAATCTGCCCTATACCAGAGTTTGCTAAGCGAGGGGCTGTTTCTGAATCTCCTCTTCACCTCTAGGACCTGATATATAGTAGGCACCTAAAATCTCTGTGTGGGCAAATGAACAGTACAGACTTTTAGAAGAATCATAAAAGTCTAACCCTATGGCTCAATGCTACTTACTACTTTGAAGGCCACCACTGAGACTCTAAAGAGCTCAATAAACCATCCTTATTTGCCCAAAGAAATCCACAATATTTAGAGACCAGAAAGAAACCAAATATGGGAGATGAGTTATGTAAACTATTGGTACCTCAATATTGTTACAATAGTACACTGCCATTCAAATGACAGCCAAACTATGTACCTGTGTGAAAAGATCAGTCCATGGCTGGTAATATCAAGCATAAATGACAGAACGTCAAGTAGCTTAAAAACAAAGACCATGGGTTCAACGACAGCCTTGTGTAGTGTGTCACCTATCTATGGGGGTGACCTCGAGTAAATCACACTGCCTCTTTAAACTCCTTCTGGAGGTAGAATCTACCTCTGAAGGATAATGAATGGAATAAGAAAGATGACAAAGTATGTATGGAAACCAGCCCAGCATAGAAATGGCTGCTGATATTTGTACCATGGTGACCACAGCCATGCAAAATCAAAGTCTGGAAGAGGATAGGGGATATTGTGAAGAGGTGGCCTTCAATGAAGGGCTCTTTGACTATGGTTTCCCTTGCCCTTTCACTATTGTTAGTTCTTTTCATTGCAAAAATGATCAAATATTCAATTTCTTTGAGAAAGAAAGAAAGAAAGAAAGAACAAGCAAGCAAGAAAGAACAAACCCACCCTGGGCACAGATGACTCATTCAGTCTCTGTGGTTACATGGAAATTGTATGCAAACCCACATCATTCTCCTCACTGTGTACCTGGATGTGACCCTTGGGATAATCCCAATGAAAAAAACCAGTACTGCTTGTAAAGGAAAACAGAAACTTAAACACTTTCAGAAAAATTAAATACATAAAACTTTTTTTTCTACTTTAGGAAAAAATGTGACATTTTCTGTTAGCATTTCTATCCCAGGAGGATAGAAGTACGTCATCTCTAAAGGTAGGGGGAAACCAAGATAATTGCTTTTTCTAAAATCAATTTCTGCCAGAAGGAAGCTTTATGAGTACTGGGAACCAAAGCAATTGTACCACCAGTGGGAAGGACTGATCCCCAGGGGCATCCCAAGGGACCTTTGTGTCATCCTACAATTCTACCCAGAAGGGCTTACACCAAGAAGATGAGACTGGGTAGGGTGGCATCCCATTCTCTAGTTTTCTTCCTGCTTTCTTCCACTTAGTTGCTTACCATGCTGCCTGGTCCTTCAACATCTATGACAGCCATGGGGCTCATGGCATGCAGTGGGGAAAGTCAGAGAAACCCTGCCCTTGAGTGCCACCCTGCAGTTCACAAGTGAAGGAA